TAATATTCTCCACAAACCTCGTTTGAAGACGGACGTGTTATAGCGCTCGGGAAACACCGTGGAAGGAAGCTCGTTCCAAAAGCCGGATGGTACGTGGCAAAAAAGACCTCTGGAAACGCACTGTCGATGAATGCAGCGGTTCTAGATAATATGGGTGAAACGAGATAATAATAGATAATACGGACTGCAACTTGGCTGTGCCCCTGGCATAGCTGAGGTCCATGAACGACGATAACGTCAACTTACAAATGCTATAAAAAATACTACGAAACAAGCTTAAGCTATAAGGCCGTCAACGCAAAAGTGGCCTAACCCACAATTTTTCATAATCATGCTTATAATTATGTATATTGCAATTTATTTAAAATATAATATTTTTTTATGCAAAACCGGCCTATCCATAGTATCATCACTCATAGATAACAGATGGCTTGGTAAACATTATTTTTGCGCGTATTGTTTTTTTGCCTACTCAAATTCCAATTCACGTATACTTAAACCTCATTGCTCCATAATGACTATGCTACTAACTAGCTAGCCACTTTTGTGCTGGCGGCTTCATGTATCTACGCTACGTAAGTTTTGCTTATATCTTGTTTTGAATTTTTTATGAATTAAATCAAATTTACCCAATTCCTGTTCTAATTGGTTTACTTAAGAACAAAAATTAGATAGCTAATACTGAGACCTTAGAACTTATATTTTAAGGTGAGTGGCGTATTTACGTTGTAGATGTCTCCACTTAACCAGGCGGGCTGTGAGCTCGTCCACCGATCTAAGCAATAAAAGAACCCTTGAAAAACGTTTGCTTGTCGTTACCCTAAGAGTAGAAGAGACGGACATACCAAAACCACTGTTTTCTCTCTTCCAGGGAACCCACAGAGAACATCTTACGCGAACAAAGGACTTAGCTGTTCACATTGTCGAACCTTATCAACAATGAGCACACATGTAGCGTAGTAAAACGTAACCCGATCGCTCTACACGATACGGCGTTATCTCCTATACAAATATTTTTTGTTTCAAACGTACGTACTGATTCATACGAAAAACGTATTTGTTTAATTTAAAAATCGTCACAGCGTCGTGAGACCACCGTTAGCTCGCCACTACGAGTAAGTTTCGCGACAAGCTTCTTTAATTTTCACCGGACATCGCTACTAAGGGTAGAGCGTCTGGTGGGTCCGCGAGGTTAGGTACCAATTATGTAAATATATTTAACAAGCTAAAGTTCCCCTGCCGCTGACAAAATCTTCACCGATTCTGTTACAAAAGACGTATCTACACACCGCAGTAAATCTTCTTTATGTCTGGAAGCGTACTGGCGGTAGGGCCTCAGGCGAGTCCGCACGGGTAGGTACCAACACCCTGCCTATTTCCGCCGTGAAATAGTAATGCGTTTCGGTTTGAAGGGCAGGGCAGCCGTTGTAATTATACTTGAGTCCTTAGAACTTATATTGAGATATGAGTGGCGCATTTACGTTGTAGATGTCTATGGGCTCCAGTAACCACCTAATATAGGTGGGCTGTTAGCTAGTCTAGACATCTATGCAATAAGGAAGGTTTTAATTATAAAAAAAGAACGCATTTTTGTTTCGGATGAAACAGCCATGCACTTTTATTTGTACTAGAGGTCCCGCAGTAGTCGAAATTCGACTATAATTAATTGGAATTGTAAGTTTGTACACTATTAAGATTGTATTTTATACTTCTATAATCACAAATTTCGCCAAGACTACACTATAAAAAATATTAACAAAGACAAAACAATATTTAATCTATTCTCAATTTGACAACAGACGTCAAGAACAAAAGTTAGACAATAAATAGTATGCATGCGTGTGTGCGTCAAATACATGGTATGTAGTGTGTGTAATGTTTTCTTTATTGATTTAATGTATCTTTTATGCATTATTTAAAAAAAATATTAGCATTGTGCACTTCTTCTCTATATTCTCTATAAGTGTGGAAAGTTTCATACTCTTCCGTCCGCGCAATTTTTGTAAAAAGGGATACAAAGTTTTTGCTTCACGTATTAATATATAGATGTTATTAGTCAATTATTGAAACGAAAGTGTTCCATTTATCAATCAAAGTGTAAAATATGGAGTAGCGTGTAAACTAGAACGCTATTGTACCGGTTTCTTGACGTGCCTAATTTTGTATTCGTTGTAGGGACGACCGCTTTTCTTTTTTAAATAACCTTAACGGTATTTCTTTCTTTAAAATTTAATAATGGAAGTGATTTAAAATCTTCAAACGCTTTTTTTTTTTTGCTTTAGTAACGCGCAATAAATTCTAAATTGGAATTGCTTTTTTTGCGTTATCTATTTATTTCACAATTATTTTATGTTATTTGCTGTTATTGTGACTGCTATTTCGCTTTAGTGGTCCATTGGTAGGAAATTCGTGAATGATTTACTTCAAATTTAGTAGTCGTCGTGGCCTAAAGGATAAGACGTCCGGTGCATTTGTATCTAGCGATGCTTCAAATCCCGCAGGCAGGTACCAATTTTTCTAATCAAATACGTACATAACAAATGTTCACGATTGACTTCCACGGTGAAGGAATAACATCGTGTTATAAAAATCAAACCCGCAAAATTATAATTTGCGTAATTACTGGTGGTAGGACCTCTTGTGTGTCCGCACGAGTAGGTGCCACCGCCCTGCCTATTTCTGCCGTGAAGCAGTAATGCGTTTCGGTTTGAAGGGTGGGGCAGCCGTTGTAACTATACCTGAGACCTTAGAACTTATATCTCAAGGTGAGTGGCGCATTTACGTTATAGATGTCCATGGGCTACAGTACTACTTAAAACCAGGTGGGCTGTGAGCTCGTCCACCGATCTAAGCAATAAATAAGAATAAAAAATATGCCAAATATAAATTGGAAATAATATCGCATTGTATCGTTAAAATCTGACATACACAGCAAAGTGTGGCCGGTTTTAGCTACTAATAAATAACTGACACTGAACTATGACAATTAACATGAGAATTTTCTCCAATGTTATGGATACAGGAAATCTTTATACATGAAAAGCAAACGGTACCTAAGCAGTCGACGTCGCCCAAAACATGTCACTTCGGATCCTTCTGATCCACTAACACCTGTCCTGATGAAACTGGAAAGGCCTCCGGGCCACAAGTAATCTTTCAATCATAAAAAAAGGTGTAGTTAGATAACCCAAGCACCAGTCACCGTTCTTGTCGAGACCTTCGAATGCAACGAAGGGTTCGTCGTGGAAACTAACCCACAGACACAACGCACTGAGTTTCTCGCTGGATGATCTCTGTGGGCCGCGATTCCGATCCGGCGGTAGATTCTGCGAAGCACTGCCTTAACAAGGGCTACACAGGTTTGTTTGAGCTTCGCCTGGGTGTTTATTATCTATATATTTAAACGTATATAAGAATTTTTGTCAGTCCCTCATACCTATAACACAAGGAATTCTAATTTGGGGTCTAATGACCGTGTGTGTTTTTATAAATCATCTTTAGCCAAGAATAGCTTTGGGTAATTAATAAGGGTCTTGCATATATTCAGTAGATGCGTACTACAGTTATCTCACACTGTAGTCTCTGACGTGGGATAGGTAGTGTGTTTTTAATATGAATTGATAAAAATAATAATTAGATTCCTTCTCGAGTTACATTGATGAATTTCCCATTTATTCACTTATTGACGTTGAATAAATTAAATTGGTGAAAGATAAGGCCTATAGTATAAAGTTGGTGATTTTTTAACTTAACCCTTTGACTGCCGTGTAGGTCACCCGTGCCCTACGCGGCGCGCTGAAGTAATTATGTCGATTTCTGTTACTAAGGCGCCTGGATTACCTAATTTTGCTTTCTTTTGCTTATTAGTGTATGTTCTAGATTTTTAGGTCTCTAAGAAATTGATTCATTCTCGGTATCGTTCGGATACGTTTTTCCTAAATTCTATTTGACATTCCGGCGCCTTAGTAAGAAGATCGAAGAGAGAAATCGACATAATTACTTCAGTGCGCCACGTAGGGCACCGGTGACCTACACGGCAGTCAACGTGGTAAGGTATTTTCAGCTCGGGTCGCTTTCGGCTGTAATTAATAGGTTATGGAATACACATGATAATGGTTTTTCAAGTGATAATTTCTTATGGGACGATAACCTGCTTCGTTACGTAACGCGTTACGGTGTCAATCTATCTGGCGTCCCTCTCTCTCACGCATACGGCAGCGGTACTGAGAGTGCAATGTAACTCCTAACTATTTGTATATCTTTTTTGAATTTATGTTCCAATCTTCCTTACATTATCATTATAGTATACATAAAATTTAAGTAATAACCTAAGTTTTTCTCAAGTTAAACAATTACAATATTAAATAAAGTGTATATACAAACAACCTAATAAACGAATAAAAATAATAATTATTTAGGTAAAGCTACTTATAAATAGAAAATCTGCGTTAGCTCACCGCCGGTCGGAAGAGTTCCCAGAAGGCTGGCAGCATTTCCACGCTGGATAGCAATGCTAATTCTTTGTGCAAAATACGTACCGGCCTTCTGGTCTCCCGAGGCTTCAAAAAATTTTTTTTAAAGGTCCTTAAAAAAGCTTTTAGCAGATGGGCCCCAGGGGCCCAAAGTTTCAAAATATTAAATAGTTCAACTTAGATTAGAATTAATTATCACTTCTGTCCGTTCTTCTGTGTTAAATCAAAACTTCTATTTCTTCTGTACCTAATGGTAGGACCTCTTGTGAGTCCGCACGGGTAGGTACCACCGCCCTGCCTATTTCTGCCGTGAAGCAGTAATGCGTTTCGGTTTGAAAGGTGGGGTAGCCGTTGTAACTATACTGAGACCTTAGAACTTATATCTCAAGGTGGGTGGCGCGTTTACGTTGTAGATGTCTGCTCCCGTAACCAATTAACACCAGGTGCAGTGTAAGCTCGTCCACCTATCTAAGCAATAAAAAAAAACCTCCTATATAATTATTTTTTTGTAGTTTAATGTTATTTTACCTTCACTCCGCGGTGCTCTGACCGATCTACTGGACTCTTGATCACCGCCTTCCCCGATATGCCAACTATATTCCATCTTTAATTCAATACATCTCCCGTTGAATAACACCTCAATTTACGTTATGTCCACAACGGAATCACACATTTCGAAAATTATAATATCAACGCTTAATTTCTTTTTTGTTATTGATAAATTAATTATGCTATTTATTTATAGGTCTTTAAAAGCTTGTACAAAAACTGTTAATTTTTTTTAGCACGCGATATTTTCTTTTTTTTTTTTTCAAATGGTTTCCTCGTTTATTTTTTCACTATCCTTTCTATATTGTTTTCAGATGCGTCCGTGTGTGATTTGAACGAAGATTGTACTGACATAGAAGACCGCACCTTCGTTCCAACCCTTGCGTGCGAAGAAGACGTAGGATCGAAAAATTCGCGTGCAAGAACGGGACACCAATATACGTTTCGCGGTTTCCACTTTTAAACGGACCCTTATTTCCGACCAATCGCCCACCCGTCTTTGTGTTTAGGGATGTTTTGACCGATTCGAATTTTTGGGGTGGGATTCTATTTATATACATATATAAAACGTATCTAAACGATAAATCAAATAAACTGATTTATAATACGATAGTTAACTATATCTCGGAATGAAATCTAGATTGGAGGTATTGTAAAGATAGTAGATAGGTACATGTCTTGTGTCGTTCAAAACAAAAGCACAATAAGCAGCTTTCTTTGTCTTATTGCTTTGCTGGTTGGACGAGTTCACGGTCCACCAGGTTTTAAATGGCTACCGGAGCCCATAGACATCTACGACGTAAATGCCGCCACTCAACTTGAGACATGAGTTCTAAGGTCTCAGTTTTTACAGGACAACGGCTGTCTCGCCCTTCAAACCGAAACGCATTAATTACTGCTTCACGGCAGAAATAGGCAGGGTGGTGGTACCTACCTATTTAGGCAATAAAAAAATTCTTGTATGCAAATAAATGTATCAATCATCAGTATACCCCATAAATCATGGTTATCTAAGAGGGTAGGCAACATTATAGCTCGCAGAGGGCTTAGTGAGCGAATTTATTGGCGCAGGTGGTCGACAGTCACACACCATAGCTCCGACGGTCACCTGACCGTTAACCCTTGTCACGCTTCATTGGGCCCGGTCCCGAAACGGTATCGATCAGAATTACGATTAGACATGTGCAGTTCCGTAGCCAGTAATACCTTATTATATTAATAGGCAAGATATTACAAGTATAACCCAAGACAAAAACCCGCAAAATTAAAATTTGTGTAATTACTGTGGTAAGACGTCTTGTGGGTCCGCATTGGGTAGGTAGTTAGGTACTACCGAAAATTTCGGCCGTGAAGCAGTAATGCGTTTCGGTTTGAAAGGCGGGGCAGCCGTTGTAACTATACCGAGACCTTAGAGCTCATATCTCGAGATGGGTGCCGGTATTTACGTTATGGATGTCTATGGGCTCCGGTAACCATTTAAGACGAGGTAGAACGTAAGCTAATCCACCAATCTAAGCAATAAATAAATAAAAGACAAGGTGGAAAGATGTAGTGCTGAAGGAGAAAAGGGAATGCAATGTTCCCGACGAGGATGTCGAAGAGCGAAGTAGAGGAATAGGATAAGAAAATCTGACCACACCACCACTATGTGAGATGAATGAGGCATTAACTTCATTCGAGTCAGCTTTCAGCGCTATAAACCTATGACCGGACGGTAAATGCCGCCACCGATTTTGAGATATGAGGTCTGATTCTCATAGGATATCAACTGTCTGATCCTTCAAACAGAAACTCCTTGCTGCAGTAGAAATAAGCCGCGCCGTATTATCTGCCCAGGCGGGCCCACGAGACGCCTTAATACAGGTACTTCTCTAGTTAATAGATTCAGAGACAGAGTGTTTGTGATTGTTACGTGGCCTTGGAGGAGAGACGCGTCTTACGGTGTCCTATTATTTTTTTAGGCAGGCGGCCTTTGCTCCTTCTAAGTGTCCTCGCCTAGGGCACGCGGAATATGCGGAACTTGATGGTCAACAGATGTTGGGAGCAGACTGCGGGCCCAAAGGTATTTTAGGGCCTTACCGCACACCAAACAACTCCTCTTTGCACTCTCACACCCGACATCCGATCTCCGGCCGGAGTCAGAATCCGGTCAGAGTAGGGGGTTCCCGCGGTCAATACTATTCTTACGATGCACCGCCATCTCTCCCTCTTTGCTCGAGGCCATCCCGCCGCACTCATTCAAAGAACCGCTGCATTCTAGTTTGAACGGACGCGAGATTCCCGTGCCGTCTCGTGTCGTCCGCTCTTCCTTACACGAGGCGTGGATCCATTCCATTCCATTCTATTCCATCCACTGTCCCGTCGGAAAAAATATTCGAGACTGTACCGTAGAAAACAGACACTGCTAAGTGCAGAATTATAGACGTATCGAAATGTACATGCCAAAGTTAAAGAAGCATTCTCCAGCCTCGCATCTACAATGTCTCTTTAGCCCTAACATTAGTTAATCTTCTTATTCTATATCGTTCCCTCACTGCTGAGGATCACGACCACATGTGACGTTCCTCCATAGTGGTCGGTCATGGATGGTGTGGACCGCATGGTACAGATTACCACCAAGATCTGACCATCTGGCTGGTATAAATAACCACATTAGTTAATACGTAACATTTCTGCGATCTTTTTACTAATCTTTTTTTTCTAAGATCTTTATTCTCAATTCGTGAACATGTGTTAAGTACGTATTGGCGTAGCGAGACCAGTCCAGCCTACCAATAATACCGAAGATATGAGTGAGGAATATTTGAAAAAGAAAGAGTATAGGGATTTCCTATTTAATTTTAAAAGAACACGCTTGGTAAGAATTAGTATTCTTTACAACAAAAAATAGTCCCGCAAATTAGTGGTGGCCCGACGTTATATGAGCCCACTCTGATCCATTAGAAGCAGTCGCTCGTTACAACATCAAATATTGAAAAGTCGTTGCAGATGTTGAACAAAGGTTGTGTCCTCTATGAAATCTGGTAGCTGTCTGGACTCAACTAACCACATCTCTTAACATAATTTATTTTGATTTATCTATACTTCTATACTAATATTATAAAGAGAAAAGATTTGTTTGTTTTTTTGTATTCAATAGGCTCCGAAACTACTGAACCGATTTGAAATTTTTCTTTCACTGTTTGGAAGCTACACTATTCCCGAGAGACACAGGTTATAAAATTAAAAAAAAAAAATTAGGAATCCTTACTAGAACTCCAATAATGTAACCCAAGTTGTAAAAAAAATACCTAAAATATTCTTTACATCGCGTGCCCTGCGAAAACTATTGATGATAGAATAAAATAATGTACTACGACTTTGTAGAACACATTATTATTTAGAAAAAGTGTCACAACAACATATGTCTAACTATTATAGTTACGCCGCAATAAATGTTCTTTTATTTTTAAAAATAAAACCACGTCAAATATCGTTGACATTTTTGTTAAAGACCCGAGCGGAGTCGGAGCGGGCTGCTAGTTTAATATATTTTGTACACACAGCTGTTAGAAGAAACACGACAATAAGGATACAGAGTACAAGGGTACTACATATTTCATGTTGAAATCTCTTCCAGTAGGCCCGCAGGAGGAAAGAAGAATTAGGAACACAAACCTACTGCATACAATAAACATTACATATAATAATATATACATATTACAAGATACAAAACAATAGGTATATATGTTACGGTAAATGTACACTTTTGGGAAATGTACACTTTTACCGGTAAATGTAAAAAATCGGTAAATGGTAATAAGCAAGATTCTCTTTGTGATAAAATCAACCAAGTTAACTTCATTGGCAAACTATTCATTTTATTTAATTAAAAAATCACGCAACATCGAATCCCTATGCATAGGGCGCCGTTTTCTTTCGTAAATAAATAAAAACATTAGCCTTACAATCGTTTACTGTTTAATCAAACTTAATTACAGGTATCACGCTATTACTGAACGTTTCCCGATCAAAGGTCGCCGACGATCGGCGCCCACCCTTCTATAGACCCCTGGATATAATTATCCGTGGGAAACGTTCAGGTTATTCAAAATAAACTTACCATCGTGATTATGGTCAGACAGGATTAAGCTATTCGATATAAACTTAACACTCGCAATTGTAGTCATTAAGGTCGTTCATACAATCAGTTTAATTAATAACTAGCTGACCCGGCAGACTTCGTAGTGCCTCAACCGATAAAATTAAATAGAAGACCTAAACTTTTGTATAAAATAAACATAAAACAAACAAAAGGAATCCGTACGACGCGGCGACGGGGGACACATCAAAGGAAAAACAAAATTGTTATATTTTTTTAATTCCGAGCATTTTCATATTTATCTACCTTTTAAACCTTCTCTGGACTTCCACAAATAATTCAAGACCAAAATTAGCCAATTCGGTCCAGCAGTTCTCGAGTTTTAGCGAGACTAACGAACAGCAATTCATTTTTATATAGATAGATAGATGGATAGATAGATAGATAGATAGATAATAATAATGATAAATTAATCAATATCTCTGGCGGTCCTACAGCATGACTTATCACTAAAATGCATGATTAATAGCATTTTTTATTGCATAGATGGGTGGACGAGCTCACAGCCCTGTGTTAAGTGGTAACCGGAGCCCACAGACATCTACAACGTAAATGCCGCCACCCACCTTGAGATGTGAGTTCTAAGGTATCAGTATAGTTACAACGGCTGCTCCACCCTTCAAACCGAAACGCATTACTGTTTCACGGCAGGAATAGGCGGGGTGTTGGTATCTACCCGCGCGGGCTCACAAGAGGTCTTAACGCCAGTATAAGGTTATATACAATCAAGTAATCTTCCAAGCATAAAGACGATTTACTGCAGTCCGTATATACGCTTTTTGTAACAGAACCGGTGAAGATTTCGTCGGCGGCAGGGGAACTTTAGCTTGTAAAATATATTTACATAATTGCTTGGCTAAATGTGCTTATTCACGCCGTTCCCATGGCGACATTTTGTTAAATCAATCAATATCGTAGCTGCGTGGGCCGTGTGTTCTTTTAAAGCTCGAAGGTTGAATGAAATAGAATTTCCCGTTATATATGAGTCGACTATTATCAAAGCCGGCAATGTGACTTTTGGACAATTATTGGTAAATCAGAAAAACGAATTATTGACTTTGTATTCCATTGGCAGTCACAAAACTCTTCTGAACGACATCTTAGATAAATAAAAGGTTAAGTTAATACTTTATTTAATGCAGGTTTTGAACCGTATTCTTTGAAGGAGACGATTATATTAAAATCAATCTGTATTGACATATCAATAACATTTTTTTTGTCCAAATGCACAGATTGCCACCTTTGATAATAGACGAGTCATATACAGACTTCACTGTCGTCATTAAAATACGCAAATTGATCTCGTTTTTATTTTAATTCATTTCCTCAGCGTGGGTTCTTTCATTTATGGAGAGCTGAAAAGTGGTGGTAGGACGTCTTGTGAGTCCGCAGGGTTAGGTACCACCACCCTGCCTGTTTCTGGCGTGAAGCAGTATTGCGTTTTACCTACTG